ATGTTAAAACTAATTTGGTTACTAATACCAAAGGAATACAGCTTATATCATTTTACTTTAGATATGGAGCTAACTGTTTTTAAGAAAATAATTTATAATTTTTACCGGGAATTAGTTCTGAAAACATGTTCTAATAATATGATGCTTGTTCTTTCAATTCTATTGTATTCAGAAGTAATTTTAAACTCGTAACAAGCAAAAAATTTTTAATATCATATTGGTCCCCTTATATGACTTTCTATCGTTGAGAATCCCTGCCTAGAAAAGCAAACACCAAAAGATTTTGGCAAAAGATTTATGCATGATTTCAATCAGATAAATGTAAGAAAAAAAATTATTTAAGAAAATAAATAAACATTATTGAAGGATCAGTGAGATATTAATTATATTGTTGTTTTTTTTTTTCTCATCTTTAAATTTAATTTCTTTGTAAATAAATTTTAATTTAAACCATAAACTTACAGATTTGACGTGATATATTTTGTTTATTGCAACCTTTAAAAAGTTTTGTTTAATTTGTAAAATAATTATTAAATTTTTTAATAAATTGTATCTTTTTTGTTTGTAGTGAAAGGTTATAAAATAAAGGAAATTATAAACAATATTCTCAAGATTAGGTTGTGAGTTATAGAAAGGGTGACCTCTATAGCCAATCCTGTTAAAAAAAGTTAATTTATTAATTCATATTAACACTCGGGGCCATTTGGACCATTGGAATGCAAAACCGTTCATTAAAGTTATTGTTCTCTTATTTGAGGGGTCTTATAATTAATATGATTCCGAAAAGAGAACCATCCAGTACTTGCACTAAATTTTGTTACTAACGATGTTGCTGGATAATTTTCCTATTAATTAAGAGCCGAATTGGCCAAAGGATATTAATATATACTGGACACATAGAAAGGCTTTGAGATACCGATCCCAGATAGAATATCAAGGTCATTAGAGATTAGAACTAATATCCGTAAAAATCCGTTGCTACACACAAGTCCTTGCAAAAATGGAAACTTGATTAGAATAACAGAGGTTAGTATATTTACCGATCTATTTTAAGGTGATTACGTTAAATCTAAGACCGCATTCAAGAGTAAGAGATCCTTTACCGAATACTCCAGAGAGACATTTTGATCATATGAGTACTAAGACTCTATATAGTCGATGTAAAAGTAAGGGAACTCGAGAAGGTTAAATAACGGATGCAAAACCGTTCGACACAACGAGCGCTGAGAGTATCCTATAACTCCACTTGCAATAATGAAACAGTAGTGTAACGACAAAGATCCTTGGTGTAACTCTAACGAGTTAAGAACGAGAAACCTCCTCAATATATAAACCAATGTTATAAGAGGACTCACAGGATTACGAGCACAACTATACAAAATTGGACTAGCGGTTTCAGACAATGTATAACATGCGGAGAGGACAGTGGAACTCTGGAACAAACGCTGATTGGAAAATGTTAAGGCCCAGGACAATTGGTTTCTGAACATCGGAAGATAAAACACTAAGAATTTATAAGGGTTTTCCCCATCAGTATTTTCCATATAAAGGAGCGCACAATAGGCCCGTTGGGTGTACCTTTTCGAATTTGATACATCCTGCTCTCAACCTAACGATGCTTTAAATAGGCCAGAACATGAAATAGGCTTGTGCCAAGAGCGATGTTATTCCACATTTAACACTAATTGAGACTTTTTAAAGAACTACGCCTAGGACACTAAGTATCTGAACATCGGGCGATAACACATTCATAAAACACTAAGTATATATCGTTTTTCCCAATCTGAACGATTTTTTGTTAGGAGTCAAATTAATTTTCCCTTAAGTAATAAAATTGGACCACTTATGTACCGCTTTTTGTACTTCATTCCTTGATCGTGTTTAATACCACATTTAAGGGAATATGAACATTCTTTTGCGAAACTGGTTTTTCCGAGGACGATCCGTTAAATGCGCATTCGTTGAGAATAACATTTTGCCGAATGCTCTCGTTTTCTGCAATCCTTATCAATTCGTTCCTTATAATTTAATTAAATTATTTTTTCAAAAATTAATTTAATGCGTAATAATTTTCAAACATTTCAACCAATTTACAACTGTTTATATCTCACATTAATTTAATACACCTTTTACTTTTCAATATCGATTCTAATAGAAACAAAATTTTTCTTAATATAATTTTCTGTCAACATAAATTAAATTATATTTCAAAAGTTAATTAAGAACAAAGGAAATTTCTAATTACGTTATTAGTTTATAATAAAAAAAGAACAAACATAAATAATAAATAAAAGAAATACACAGAAAAAAAAGTAAAAAAGAAAGAAAATTTTAAATAAATATTTACTCTAAAATAAATACAGACACATGGTCACCCACTACAATTCAATCATAGAAAAATGTTATTTGAAAATTGTCCATTTGTTGTCCACGATGTGTGATGATTATTTTCTAACACTGACTGATTTTGAATATGTATTTAAAAAGACGGCTGACTAACAGACAACAAAAATTAAGAGAAAACAAAAGGACAGACAGTCAAGCAATCTTCGCATGTGGTAACAAATTGAAAAAATGTTGAAAAAAAAACATAAAAGAAATACTTTAATGGTGATATTTAAAATACCGAGTTAAATACTCGTTGTTGTATATTCCCAAAGAAATAAACAAAAACAAAATATTAATGAAATTCTCATGTTGTTGTTGTTGTGGTTTTCAGGAAATGTCAACATGTTCATTCGCATTAATTATTTTGCGTATTCTGGTGAAATTATTTTCAATACTTTGCACTCATTAACATTCGCCGTAAGAAACGAATACAAAAAAAAAAAAAAAAAAAACACACAAGAATCATTTAATATAAATAAATTTATTTAGTATTTGAAAAATATACCTATACATGTGTGAGTTTATAATTCAGATTCAGATACATATTTCCTCAACTATAGTATAACGAGTAATTTTCCGAAAATTCAAAGAAAAAATCTCACCTAAAAGAAATTACGCTAAACAATAATATCGAATATGAAAAAAATATATAGAATCGCAAAAATTAGTGGCTCGTTTTGTATTAAAAAAATCCAATTTGCCAATTTTAATATTTAAAAAAAATGTAAACACATTCACTCAAAAAATTTTAACAATTAAATATGAATCTGAAAAAGATGCAGTTTAAAAAAAAGAGATAACATCCGAATTTTGTTTTGCGTTTTTGACAGTAGTTGTCAAACATTTCTTAGGCGATTTTTAAAAACAGCATAAAACATCAAAATATTGGCCCTACATCCACAAAATGATATATTCTGGGTCTTTATTACATTCCAAGACGACCAAGTTATGTCAATCCGTCTATATGCTGAAATCAATATTAGTCGCTCATCGTAGCAGCTATAAGGCCGAAACTATAGTAACTTTTCAAGGAACTGACACACCCACTATATATTCCGCCCATTTTTATTTCAATTACTTATGATGTGGTGAAAAAGGTTGAATATTGCTGATAACTTTATAAGAAAGTTAAACATTTAAAAATATTTAATAACTAGCTATACCCAGTGTGCTTTGCTACCCTAAAAGCAATATAAATAAAAACCCCATTTAACGATTCTGAAAATTCTAACTACAATAGTTTTCAAGATTTACAATATGTTAAATATGAGAGATGCGTTTACAATATGTTAAATATGAGAGATGACAAGCAAATTATTGCAATTTCGCCAATTTCTATCTATTTATGAAAAATTTGAATTATTTAACAGTTTATATACGAAATTCTGTATTTAATTTATATATGTGGTAAAAAGCCCCCAATTGAAAGTCCGCCCGTTTTTCTCTAAATGTTCACATGAATGTCAAAGTTTTTCATGTAAAATTTGAAGATTTTAACTCTAATAGTTTCTCAGATATACGGATTTTTCCATTTAATTCATGTGGAGGCTTCAAGCTCCCCAGATGAAAGTCCGCCCTTTTTCCTCCAAAATGTTCAGATGAATATTAATGTTCTTCCTGCAAAATTTTAAGAATTTAGTTCTATTAGTTTCGAAGATAAACGAATTTTTGTATTTAATTTATATGGGAGGTGCCATGCCCCCTAATGCTAGTCCGCCTACTTTTTATCCTAAATAATCATATTGACATTAAAGTCGCTTCGATAGATTTTGAGGACTCTAACTGTTATATTATCTCAAATATACGGATTTAATATTTTCGTGGCTCCTCGCCCACTTGAAATTTCAAAATAAAAAGTAGCCTATTACATATTCCAGACATACAGGAATACGCTGTGAAAAATTCAAGAAAATCGGTTCAGCCGTTTAGTAGTCTATAACGTTCAAACATACAAATAAACACACATTCATTTTTATATATATAGATAACTCTTTATTTTTTAGTAGGAGGTGCCACGCCTACTATTTATGAATTCTGCTCATTTTGATATAAATTACCTTAAATTAAAATCAAATTTCTTATTCACTTTTCGGACCAAGTTTTATTCTAGATATTAATTAAATTTTTATTTTAGTAGAAGATACCACGCCCACTATTCAGATACCGCCCATAATTGGCTCTACACTACATATAATTTTTTTTACAGAAAATCGTAGCCATAGTTTAGGAAATAATCCGTGTGTCCGGCCTCCGGTAGGTTAGCGGTTACAGTTCAATTTTTGTCAAAGATAATGTTGAGCCACATTGCGAAATTTACATTAAAGTTACAACAAAATTTTTGATAGTTGATATAACACTCTTATTTGTTTATATATCTTTGAAAAGACAACTCCAGAAATTTTGAGTAAGAAATTATTTTCAAACAATATGAATAAAATTACCTTTCCATAATAAATCACGCAAAAATAAAGATAAAATCTCAACAATAGCTAACACACAATTTCGAGTGTAAATATATGTAAATCCTTCGATATAAACTTTAAGTGATCGCATATTAAGCTTTCAATATTTATTTAAAATAATTTTTTTTGTTATTTGTTGAAAATACTTACCAAGAAAAAAACACCAACCACAACACGAAAAAAAAACAAATATTAAAAAAAATCTAATTAATTTAAAGTGAAAACAGCAGCAAAAAGAACACTTTGTGTTTCCACAAGAATCGAAGACGAGTAAATATCGATAAATTTAGATCGATGATTCAGTCAATACACAAACAAAACGTCAATTCAATTTTATTTCAAATTATTTAATTCTATTTCTTTATTATTATTATTTTTACGAAATCCAAATTTTTGTACTTAAAATTTTTTTATTATTCTATATTCTATAAACACACACTGGAAGAAATGATTGTAAAAATGTAAATTATTTTGCGTTTCGCATCACAGGTGTGTTGTATTCAATTATTATTTTACGATTAATTATCGTTTTATTTGTATTCCATTTTAATTTGAAAAATTACATTTTTCAAAATTCTATAATTTACAAAAACACTTTTATTTATGTCATATTTTTTCAGCTTAATATATTATACACAAATAAACTTTTGGATAATCGGTGTTAAGATCTTTGAAACACTTTTTTCTCTTTTTATATTTTGGTATTTATTTTTTTATTTTTTTGAAAATTTATTTCTTTCGTTTTAATTAAAACACGTTGTATCATTTGAAAATCTCGTAAAGGACTGAACCATTTTCAAATCAGCCACTTACATTTTACATATCGGAAATTAGTGTGAAACAAAAATATAATTTTGAAACATTTATTTTACGAGAACACAAGTATGTGAGAACACTTGAGGAATTCTTGCAAGAGTTCAGGAACACAACAGAAAGATTGAAAAAGAAAAAGTGAAAAAATGTACGTGTTCTTACTTTCGACTATGGCACTGACAGACAGCAGGCACAGCACAGCTGTAGGGACACTGTGCTGAAGATCGAAAAAGAGACTAGGCTAAGTACATAGATGCACTCGTGAGAGCAGCGGCAAGGAACAAGTGTGTGTGTGGGGTTAAAAATAAATTTTGTATTTTCGAAATGTGCTCACATATGGATGCTTGGTTCGATGGATGGATGGTTGAATGAATCGTAGAGCAACCAAAACATTATAATAAGAAAATATCTACAGATATAATTCGGAAAAAGTACATTTTTAATATTAAGGATATTCACTTCACTTTTATATTTATTAATTAAACTATTAAACTTTAAACTTATAGTATACAAGTGATGCCCGGTACACGTTTCAGTCCCTTGATTGGACATGAGGACTCTCTAGATAGATATATAGATAGATAGATAGATAGATAGATAGATAGATAGATAGATAGATAGATAGATAGACAGATAGATAGATAGATAGATAGATAGATAGATAGATAGATAGATAGATAGATAGATAGATAGATAGATAGATAGATAGATAGATAGATAGATAGATAGATAGATAGATAGATAGATAGATAGATAGATAGATAGATAGATAGATAGATAGATAGATAGATAGATAGATAGATAGATAGATAGATAGATAGATAGATAGATAGATAGATAGATAGATAGATAGATAGATAGATAGATAGATAGATAGATAGATAGATAGATAGATAGATAGATAGATAGATAGATAGATAGATAGATAGATAGATAGATAGATAGATAGATAGATAGATAGATAAGATAGATAGATAGATAGATAGATAGATAGATAGATAGATAGATAGATAGATAGATAGATAGATAGATAGATAGATAGATAGATAGATAGATAGATAGATAGATAGATAGATAGATAGATAGATAGATAGATAGATAGATAGATAGATAGATAGATAGATAGATAGATAGATAGATAGATAGATAGATAGATAGATAGATAGATAGATAGATAGATAGATAGATAGATAGATAGATAGATGACAACAAAGCTCCAGGATTGGATAGCATTCCTAACAGAGCCCTAAAACTCGCGCTATCATTAAGACCAGCAGTATTCGCCCGACTATTTAAAAAATGCCTCGAAGAAGGTAAGTTCCCTGATGAATGGAAGAAACAAAAACTTGATCCCTAAGCCGGGAAAAGTCCTTGGAGAACCACAGTCATATAGACCTATATGCCTGCTGGACACTATGGGTAAATGCCTTGAAAGGATAATATATAAAATATTATTGGATGCCACAGAGAGTGCCCAAGGCCTATCCGCTAGACAGTATGGCTTTCGAAAGGCAAAATCGACTATCGATGCGATTAAGTTCGTCATAGATACCGCCAAGAGTGCAATTACCGGCAAAGGTAAACAAAGGAAGTACTGCGCTGTCATAACACTTGACATAAAAAATGCCTTCAACTCCGCTGGGTGGAATCATATTGTAGCGTCTTTAAGACATATTAATACCCCAGAGTATCTAATAAGAATAATCAAAGATTACTTTTCTAATAGATCTTTGTGGGTTAATACTGATGCAGGTATGAAAACGTACAATATCACATCCGGTGTCCCACAGGGGTCAGTCATAGGACCCCTGCTGTGGAATATTATGTACGACGGCATCTTTGGCTTAAAAATTCCCGAGGAAGCAACCATCGTAGGCTTCGCAGATGACATTGCAATACTTGTCCAAGCAAGATTCATTGACGAAGTCCAACTATATGCAAACGAGGCAATCAGATCGATTAAAGATTGGCTAAAATCAGTAAACCTTCATCTAGCAGAACAGAAGACTGAGCTTGTTTTAGTAAGTGGAAAAAGAAAACGGGAATCCTTATCAGTAATAGTAGGAGAGACCACAGTTGTGTCATCGGAAGCAATAAAGTACCTAGGAGTAATGATAGACGACCGTCTGAACTTTAAAAGACACATGGAGTATACATGTAAAAAGGCAGTTGGTGTAACAAACGCATTAGCCAGAATGATGCCGAACATCGGAGGACCACGACACAGTCGTAGACTTCTTATATCAAGTGTAATTAATTCAATACTCCTATATGGATCACCAATCTGGGAGAAAGAAATAAATAATTCATCAAAAAAAGGTGTGATTTTATTATTTAGAAGAAACTGCTTAAGAGTGTGAAGTGGCTTCCGGACTATATCAGGGGAAGCAGCAAATGTAATCGCAGGAATAGTACCCATAGATATAACCATGAAGGAAATGTCGAATGTATATAATACGTTACGCGAAAATCCGGAGATCCCCAAAAACCAAATTCGGAAAACTGAAAGAGAAAAAGCCATAGCAAGTTGGCAAAGAAGATGGGAAAACTCTCCTAAAGGCCGTTGGACCTTCAGACTAATACCTAATATTAATACGTGGATACATCGCCCACATGGTGAAGTGAATTACAACCTAACTCAATTCCTTACGGGACATGGCGGATACAGAAGTTACCTGCATCGCTTCGGTCACGATAGCACTCCCAGATGCCCAGAATGCGCCGAAGAGGATGAAACGGCGGAACACGTCACATTCGTATGCCCAAGATTTTTAAGTAACCGAAACACACTAGAATCTAATCAAGGTGAAAGTATAACGGTAACCTACATAACCAGCATAATGCTGAAATCCCAAGAGAAATGGGACGCAGTTAATAGGTTATGAACGATATAAACAAAACATTACGCGAAGCGGAAAATTGTCCGTAAGATGGCCCTCAGCAGTGCATCACAAAATGTGATAGAGTAAGAAACGAAGAGTTCCCTATTATGGGCAAACCCCCCCGCGAAGTAATACAATTGGCAGTCCCGCGGGGAGTGGGGAAGTAAGGGGGTGTGGTTTAGTACGTAGACGCCTAGGCGAGTCGTGCATGTTCCAACACGGTTGGATACATCTTTGAAGATTCCACACCTCCGGCGGAACAAAAACAAAAAAATAGATAGATATACTAGATAGATAGATAGATAGATAGATAGATCGATAGATAGATAGATAGATAGATAGATAGATAGATAGTAGATAGAATATAGATAGAAGATAGATAGATAGATAGATAGATAATAGATAGGATAGATAGATAGATAGATAGATCGATAGATAGATAGATAGATAGATAGATAGATAGATAGATAGATAGATAGATAGATAGATAGATAGATAGATAGATAGATAGATAGATAGATAGATAGATAGATAGATAGATAGATAGATAGATAGATAGATAGATAGATAGATAGATAGATAGATAGATAGATAGATAGATAGATAGATAGATAGATAGATAGATAGATAGATAGATAGATAGATAGATAGATAGATAGCTAGATAGATAGATAGGATAGATAGATAGATAGATAGATAGATAGATAGATAGATAGATAGATAGATAGAAGATAGATAGATAGATAGATAGATAGATAGATAGATAGATAGATAGATAGATAGATAGAGATAGATAGATAGATAGATAGATAGATAGATAGATAGATAGATAGATAGATAGATAGATAGATAGATAGATAGATAGATAGATAGATAGATAGATAGATAGATAGATAGATAGATAGATAGATATAGATAGAGATAGATAGATAGATAGATAGATAGATAGATAGATAGATAGATAGATAGATAGATAGATAGAAGATAGATAGATAGATAGATAGATAGATAGATAGATAGATAGATAGATAGATAGATAGATAGATAGATAGATAGATAGATAGATAGATAGATAGATAGATAGATAGATAGATAGATAGATAGATAGATAGATAGATAGATAGATAGATAGATAGATAGATAGATAGATAGATAGATAGATAGATAGATAGATAGATAGATAGATAGATAGATAGATAGATAGATAGATAGATAGATAGATAGATAGATAGATAGATAGATAGATAGATAGATAGATAGATAGATAGATAGATAGATAGATAGATAGATAGATAGATAGATAGATAGATAGATAGATAGATAGATAGATAGATAGATAGATAGATAGATAGATAGATAGATAGATAGATAGATAGATAGATAGATAGATAGATAGATAGATTAGATAGATAGATAGATAGTAGATAGATAGAAGATAGATAGATAGATAGCTAGATAGATAGATAGATAGATAGATAGATAGATAGATAGATAGATAGATAGATAGATAGCTAGATAGATAGATAGATAGATAGATAGATAGATAGATAGATAGATAGATAGATAGATAGATAGATAGATATGATAGACGATAGATAGATAGATAGATAGATAGATAGATAGATAGATAGATAGATAGATAGATAGATAGATAGATAGATAGATAGATAGATATGAGGCTTATCAGCATCAATGTGATTCTCGGAAAAGGGTTCTATGAGAGTTATTGAATTATGAACTGAACTCCCCAGTCAGTTGTCAATTTCTTTCTTTCGTGTGGGCAGCAGGTACACCATTCAAGGTATTGAATATAAGAGAATCATATGGAAAAACTAAACAGGCGCTTGTCCAAATGCCATTAAACCTCGCTTCAAAATTAATATCGGAACGAAGAATAAAAATTGGGTGGATTCGATGTAGAGTCAGACAAAAGGAGAAAATTATAAAATGTTTTAGATGTCTAGATCAAGGACATCTAGCTAGTGAATGTACTGGTAGTGATCGTACAGATGTATGCAGAAGATGCTGCAAAGTTGGACATAAATCTAAGGATTGTAGTGAAAATCCCAGATGTGAACTATGCCAAAAAGCAGGAGTCACTGATTATGCACACTTCATAGGAAGTGCAATATGTGTATCTAGAAGAAAATTACAAAACAATAATGATTAAAATTGTACAAATTAATCTTGGAAATGGGCGACAGGCACAAGACTTACTACTACATAATCTTTCAGAAATTAATAT